GACTATTGAGCACGTTTTGCTGTACATCCTCTTAGATTTTCTCACTATACATTTTATTTTTTAGAAACGTGTGTATCTTGAACATAGTAGTTTGTAGTTTCTGTTTAAGTCCTCTTTTGAATTTAAATGAGAAGTATTTTTCAGTGTCAAATACTTCAACAGTATTTCATTATGTGTATAATATTTAATTAAATGGATTTACCATTTTAAAAAAAAAGGTGGCTCACCTTGGAAGACACTGAGCTTCTATTAAGGGTGATGGACAAAGTTGGAAATAGTTACATTGATGGTTGCACAATATACTAAGCCTCACATGTGAAGACTATCAAAGTGCAAATGTTTTGTTACAAACAAATTTACAACGAAAAAAGTGGCTATACTGTTTAGCATTCCCACCAGCAATGAATGAGCATTCTGACTGCTCCATATCCTTACCAGTGTTTAGTGTGTGGTCATGTGATGGTTTGGAGATGTGGGGCAAGAGTTTGGTGTCTGACACAGAAGTCATCTTGGAACATGACTAATAACTGCAAGGTTATTATGGACATGAATAATGTCCAGATGGATATGACTAATGTCCACATGGGCTAGACGGGATATCTAGCTCCGGTGCTCTGCACTTGGCTGGGAGGGGGTTTTACTTACTGTCCATGTGCCTCCTCTTCCAAAATCCTTAGAATATGACCACCAGCATCAGCGCTGGGAGGAAGGCCAGCACCATGGCGAGCAAGGTGGGATCAAAATCCTGATGCCTGAGGATACAGGGAGAATGGCGGGAGGTAGGCAAGAGACTCTAACACACACCCTGATGGCGCTCCCCTCATGAACATCCAGCTGTCAGGGGAGGAAGTCTGTCAGAAAGGACCCAGAGATCATTCCAGAGAGTCCGCGGGGGTAAAGGCCTTGTCCTGATAATCCCCCAGCCTCAGCTTCTCTCTTGTTATGCTCCGCAATCTGAGAACATGTACTGGAGAGACCTCACTTGTAGCTAAAGAGATCAAGGCCCTTGCTTTCTGCACAGGGTCTGAGGCTTCTTCTTTGCACTGGCCTCTGTAGCGAATGCTGTGAGTATCCTGCCCCATACTCTTGCCTGTATCTCTTTAGTATAAAGCAGTCTCCCGCATCCCCTTTTTTTATTTGACTTTGGAACCCTCTTTGCCACCACACAGACTGGAACCCTCCACCAATGATAGACAAGAGCTGTGTATCAATACCCCTGTTCCCCTGCCTTCCAGGGGGAATATTTCTGCAATGGCATTAACGCTGGAGTTTTCCCAGTGGG